GGAAACCATTTGTCTCGGTTGATGGTGTAGTTACCCTGTGCCTACCCGACACTTCGGACACTAGCCAAAGGAAAATGTATCATTCTCATCGGCGATAAGCCGAAGACCTCCCTTTCGACACGCCGACGCGCCTGCCGCGTCGGCCGCTGAAGAAAATTTTCAACTTTAACACCCTCAGGAACACCAAAACACTGCTCTAACACCTCTTCTGCACCATATTCACAAAGAAAAAAACATTGATTTAGCTGAGTAAAGGACATATAAACGTCTTATAACCCATCAAAGACCTGCAACTCCATCCCTGTGTGACTTGAGATTATCATGTGGGACCAGAGTCCCACATGTGGGACATAAGCTCCCTCATGTGGAACATGAGATTGCATACTTGGTAAATTGGATCCCTCATGTGGGATTGGCGTCCCAAATTAGGGATTCAAACTCCCACATGTGAGACTCCAGAGTTCTCATGTGGACCTTGAATTTGAGATACCTCATGTGGGACGCAAGGTCACTCATGTGGAACGCCAGGTCACACATGTGGAACGTATGATTACACATGTGGGACGCCAGGTCACTTATGTGAGACCTCATATCACACTTGTGGGACGCAAGGTCCCTTCTGTGGGACTTTGTATTTCCCATGTGGGACATAATTTTCCCCATGTGGGACTTTGTATTTCCCATGCGGCACATAACACCACTCATGTGGGAGTTCCTAATTCCCACCTGGCGCGCAAGTCTTACATGTGGGACGCAAGGTCACTTATGTGGGATTTTGCTTTCTCATGTGGAACTTAATATTCCACATGTGGGAAGCAAGGTCAATGATGTGGGACTTTGTATTTCCTAAGTGGGACGGAAGATCCCACATGTAGGACTCTATATTTCTCATGTGGGACTCTATATTTCTCATGTGGGACATACAATCACTCATGTGGGAGATGAGATCCCTCATGTGGGACATGAGATCCCTCATGTGGGACATACAATCACTCATGTGGGAGATGAGATCCCTCATGTGGGAGATGAGATCCCTCATGTGGGAGATGAGATCCCTCATGTGGGAGATGAGATCCCTCATGTGAGACATGAGATCCCTCATGTGGGACATGAGATCACTCATGTGGGACACGAGATCCCTCATGTGGGACATGAGATCACTCATGTGGGACATCAGATCCCTCATGTGGGACATGAGATCCCTCATGTGGGACATCAGGTCACTCATGTGGGACATCAGATCACTCATGTGGGACACAAGATCACTCATGTGGGACATCAGATCACTCATGTGGGACATCAGATCACTCATGTGGGACATCAGATCACTCATGTGGGGCGTGATATTACACATCAAAAGTCAAAAGATAAGGGTCAACTTATACATATTTTCTCAGCTTAAACCCCAATCATCTTCCTCATCATCATCATCATCCAGTATGAACAGTTGATCCACCCTTCCATTCAGCTGACCAATTTCATCCTCACGAAGCAGCATCTCTTGCTCAAATTCTTCCAATTCATCCAAAGGCGTGGACTGTATATGTTTAGCTTTGACAATACCCTCCCACATTGACTGACCTCT